AACCTCTTCCTGATGGGGCTTAGGTTAGATTGACGTTGAACGGTCGTAGCATGGGAAAGTTTGTTCCTCTACAGACCAAAGTTTGCCTGCTCGCTGTTAGTAAATTCGATGTCAATCTGATTTAATACCAGTAGCTATAAATTGGAAAAAACTTGAATGCAAGCAACTACCAAGTCTGGATGTTCAAAATTGCTGTATATGAATGACTGTGCAATACAAAACTATTTACCTTTCTTGATCTGTCAATTACGTTGCACTATCTGTTAATACAATGCTTAAATATTATTTATTATTCATAGTAATCAAATTATAAATTTTATTATAAGCCAAACAAAACGGACCCTGAAAATATAATGTGCGATAGTTGAAAATAAACGATTTAATAATAAATACACCGATTCACGGATAATCGAATGACTGCAATTCCCAAAGGTTGATTGGTAATGAATCCTGGCAGAATTCATTCCACATTTCAATGCTATATTTATCGGTCACTAAAGTTTCAAAATAAATGAATACGCGCGAATAAATTATGCAGGTTCCATACATATTTAAGCCGTCTACGAGCACTGCGATGGCTGCTGTAAAACAAATGATTTTATAATAGATAGCAATCAGTTGCAATTAACCCGATGTTTAGTGAAAGAAAAAATGTGCCAGATTGCAATTATTCGCACACACTTTTCTCAAGATCGGCAATGCAACAGAGCAAGTTGCCGTGATGCATGACTGTATTATCAACGATCTATTGGATTGTGATTATTTTCTTAGTCGCGTGCGAAAAAATTAGCTGAGAATGTTAATTCTTGAATGTCTTTGAAATCATAGAATAGAATAGAAAATCATTTATTCAAATAAATTTAATTTAAGCACTTTTGAATAGTCATAACAATTTGTTTTTTATCTACCACTCGTTCGGAAAGCTGTCTCATCACAAGAAGAACGAGCAAGAAACTTGTGTGTTGCTCTTTTAAATAATCCTTGTAAGTTTACATTTACAAGTCGAAACGTGTGAATACAAACTACCAACAAGCACTAATTTTTGGGTCAAATATAAATATGCAATAAGATTAAATCAGTCGTAGTGAAAAGCGTTAATGGCTTAAGCTGCTTTTGTATTAAACTAATCAACATGACAACGTGCTTCCAAAGTACCAATGTCCTCAGAGAACTGTAAACAGAAATCTTAATGCAACGCTTGTAGCCACATTGTCAGATCATGGAAGATTAACGGAACACACGACGATCTGCAATCGTGTTGCAGTCGGTCGTATATAATAACGGACACCGTCAGTGTTGCTCGGTTGGCAAATTAACAAATTTGCAAGCACTACATTTTCGAAATATAACTTACGTATATATAATATACAAATTTCTCAATTATATACTTCTCCGAAACCGCGTAACTGATGTGGATGAAATTTTATATGAATAATCGGTAGGTCTGAGAATAGTTGTTATCTATTTTTCATAGCTCTAAGTGATATAGGTGGCCCTCTAAACAATTTTAATTTTTTGTTGACTAAATTATTTTTGTTAAGATGTGACAATAAAAATACATACTTTACTAAATTTTCACATTTTTTTGTTAATAAAAATGGCCCAACATTTTTTTTTATTTATTTTACATTTTGTTTGTGTGGAATTAAAAAATACATACATTTGTATACTTTCACGCTTCTTGCCTCAATTGATATGGCAAAACAACGTATTCCCGGGTCAGCTAGTCTTATTATAAATTTAATAATTTAACGATGTCCCCCGAAGTAATGCTGTGATGAAAAAAAAAACGTCTTATTATAAATAATTTAAAGATGTCCCCAGAAGTAATGCTGTGATGAAAAAAAAACGCCGCGGTACCTGCGCCAAGTCTCGGCGTCGGGTACGGTTAGTTGCGAGCGACATGTCATCGATAATTTTTGCCGCGCCGATGTCTTTAACGAAATTCATGTCATTGGGTCCGATTTCTCTAAGATTAACTTTTTTACATTATTTAACAAATAGATCGGACCCTTATACGCTCGAATATTCAGTTACATGGTTTAACACTTAAAAGGACTTAACGACTCTAACACATCCTGCGGGTTACGATAAAAAAGACGACAAAAAGAGAATACTTCTCGTGTTTGTTTTTTAAAAGATGTCTACTGGAGATAAGGTGCATCGGCACTTTAATCCTCACCCGTCCGATATTTGAAAAGGATATGATGACAACTTTTTTGTGTTCTTTATCTAATAAGCACATATAACCGATACTTAAAGACGTACATTTACTTACTATAACGCTTGTCCCAGTCGATAGTTCGTATTGCCAGTAAACGTTACAAAAGTTATAATTATGTATATGATAAAATTGAGAAGCATTTAAAATCATATAATAATATTAGACCGACAAACGTTTATGTTAAACCATATAAATTAATATCGCTATTTAAAAAAAAGTGGTTGATGGTAGATGGCTTTGTATTTATATATATTTTGGACATTTGGGTTTGTATTTATTTATTAATGCTAAATCATAAAAATCGAAATATATAATTATAACAAAAAAAAAATTTGGAGTGGACCACCCTTATTACTTAGGTATATAAAGAATAGTTAACAACCTACTAAGATATCTACCGAATCTACCTATAAAATTTAATCAAAACCATTTAAGCCATTTCGGAGAAGTATAACAACATATTATATATATATATATAAATATAACTCATGTAATGTTTAAGTTTAGTTAAGTGTGAAATAATATAATATCAATGAGTTTATTTATTTATTGAATAAAAAAACAAAACTCGTAATTAGAAAAATTATAACTTTAATACCACTTCAACTTCCAAGTACGACACTTGTAATTTCTGACACATTTCATTAGTTAAGTGTGAACAACATCTGCACTATGCTCACATTCTAGCCACTTAGAACGAACAAGTGAACGTAACTCAAGTTCGTCACCATTAAACTAAAACTTTGTTGATTAATATATACGTATATAACACACTTACCTGAACTACGGATAACATTTTAAAAAGGAATAGAAAAACATATTTTAGTGTATAAAACTGTTAGAACGAGGTTTGCAATCGATGTCTAGACTGGCTGGTATGGCAGATGAAGTAGGTATGTTTGAATATTTGAAAGGAGAGTGTGTTTTGTTATCTTGTCTGTCGTCTTATTGAAGTATCCGTATAACTTATCTATATTATTGTATATTATATTAAATGTGTTTTATATTATTTTATCTTGATCAGAAATATATTTTGTTTATCTTATTCTACGTTATTTACTTGAACACCACTATAGTTACTCTGTTAACGTTAGAAGTTCAGAGGTAACTTCCCTCACAAAAATCATAGAAATGTAATATTAGTAATGAATTTTATTTTCGTAACGTGTAATCAATATTTTACACGGATATCCTGTCAAGCGAACTAAACGGGTTGAAATATTTAAAATGGAAACGGAATAAAAATTTCATGCAAACACACCTACATATGTAGCAGTAATGGCTGACCGAATATAGAGACCATGCTGTGCTACAAAATTATGTCGTTACATTAACAGACATACGTTTCGTTTGAACGGATTGAATCCCTTTTAAGCACCGGCGTCAATTTCAGCCGCACCCTCATTTACGTCAATATAATCTCTATTCCCGTACTCATTAGGTTCAACAAGAGGTAGTTCGGGTTCTGAACACCTACAGTTGGAACCGCGACGTGTATATACAATGTTAGCGAGCAAGGATTAAATAACTACGCAGGGTATGTAATGTAGGTAATGCAGGGAATCGACGTTTAACGGCTTCGGGATTACCTCAATAATTCTCTTAGCAAAACAAATGTTTTTAGCCTGTCGCAATATAGGCACTGAGTGAGTATACGTAAATGTTGATAGTACATAGTATCATGACGTGCGGTATGTTAAAGGTGAAGCCTTATACCAGACAGACGGGTCACCAGCTTAGTAGACAGTCAACCGCGACCCACGACGCGACTTTGCTAGGCTTACTTAACGCAAAAACCAGCCATTTAAGTACGTAATTAGAGGTTTACTTACACACAAAGGTTTCTTAATTCAGACGCATCCCAAATAGAACACGAGGAATAAAATATCTCATCGTACTCGTATATCTTACTACACCCATAAAGATTAATTATGGCACTGTCATATGGCCATATCGCCTACGTAAAGATTAATGTCGTTAATCTATCAGGACAATTTTCATTCATAACAATATTTTTTTCCGGAAATATCCTATAATAACACGGAAAGGACACAATAGGGGTATTAATTATGAATTTCTTTCAATACTGACATGTAGTTGTATCATAAGCGCTCGGGTGGCATTTCTCGGTTTCTAATCCTATATAGAACACAAAGGACTTTGGACGGTAGGGGACCATTTTTCATTCAAATGACAAATATTTAGAAAGTTATTTATCCGCATGCGAGTCTGCAGTGTACAATTAATAAAAGGTCGTACGAAACGGAGTTCGCATCTTCTGCTTTATTGTTGGACTCAAGCGGATGTTTATTCTGCGACCGCTTATCGATTCAGGTAGTCTGCTGAATAAATCTATTACAACAACAATATGTCCTTCTCGAAGCCATTGTCGTTATATTTTGAATTCTTTAATAGAATCGTATTAGCATCATGCATGCATTATATTCCTTTTTTTTTATTAATATCAAAAGCGCATCTGGAGCGTTACGAATTTGCGTATTTTGACGACACGCCTATAGTCTCACCCCTTTTCGCACAATCGTTAAATACTCATTTACAATCCATCAATCTGATTTTGCTGTGTAATAAATTATCTTGTCCCTCAACGTGTCATATACTTTTTGTAATTAATAAGTGATCACATAAGCATACCACATTTTGCTTCGCGAATAAACCTATAACGCTGAGCGTTGTGGAGGCCTCCAAGTAAATATATGTCTGCAATAGCGAATGTGAAAACGCGCCATAAAGGCATTTCAAAATTTACAACTTACAGAGCACCATATCGACAGCCTCCAGCAGTCCGCCGCCGGCGCAAGCGGGAATGAGTGGCGGCGCGGGCAGCGCGAGTGCTGCTCGAGCCAGCTCCCCAGCGGCGGGCGCGCCACGCTGCTGCGATACTGGCCGCACAATATTCCAAGATCCTATTACTGGACAGACTGTGTGCTCGTGCCAGTACGAATTTCTCAATTACCAGAGACTGGCCTCAGGGGTACCATTGTCTATGTACAGTGCTCCATACTCGGATGCTGCAGCGGCGACAGCTGCCGGCATGGCCGCGTACTTCCCCGCGCTGGCCGCCGACCAACCACCGTTCTATACCAATGCTGTTAGTATTAATGCATAATATATTTTATTTATACACTGTCTCGTCTATTGTGTTTAAAGGTACATATATGTTCAGTGAGGAGATGAAATATGGCAATGAAATTTTCAGGTAAAGTTTAATCCTCGGGGATATAGCAGCACATAAGTGTTATGTTTACTATATGTACTAAGAGATGATGGTTATAGAATAACTATGATATATGATTATATTAGAATTGTAAAGATCAAAATCTGCTCAGTGATTGACTGTTACAAAATTCTACAAATCGTACTTTTGAAAGTAACATTTTTTATATTTTCAATGCTCAATTTTACACCGTTCCTCGGTGATTTCAAAAGGTACAAATATGACTACATTAGACTAGTCACTAATGCTAAATAAATATTACAAACATAAGTACGTATACATAAATATTATAAATTTATAAATACCTTAATTTCCTCATTATACAAAGAAGCAAAAATTAGTACTCAAAAACAATGTCATTTAAATTTATTTACTTGAGAGGCATAACAAAATACATATCTCGACTAATATATAATTCGCTGTAACTATTATATATAATTGATTTTGACACTGGACAAGTCAAATTATCTGATAGCTAACAAATTTATACATAGTAATTAAAATAATTATATACTATTGACACAGATTTCAACCTAATTATGCAAATATTGAAATATGTAGTTTATCAACTGTAGGCCGAAGTTGATTTGAGAATTTACGATAAAACATATTTAGTTGCAGCTACCTCTCATATAACTACGGGAAACAATAATCTCAGGACAATTCACACAGCGCCATCTAGACCCAAGTTAAGCTAGTTAAAGCTTGTGTTATGGGTACTAGATAACTGATACATATACATAGATATTATTTTTTTTGTAAATACATACATATTATATATATAGAAAACACCCAGACCGATACAAACAATCATACTCATGAATACAAATGTTTGTGCGTGCGAGGAATCTAACCCGCGACCATCGGACGTAAAGCGGTGTGCTAGACCGCTAGACCACCGAGGTCGTCAATAGATTGAATGATTTTATTACAGATCATAAAGAATGCCGCAAGCACATATCTGTAAAGGCGATAAGTTATCTTAGGATTGTGTTGAAAAATATATGTAAGAGCTCTCATTCTTACATATATTTTTCATATACTACCAAATATTAGACACAAACACATATTAATTTATTTATTGTCATTTTCCGTGGTGAATTTAAGAAATTGTGTTTATGCTAATTAGTCTTAATAATTTTCTTAACTTACTATTTAAATATATTATAGTAAAATTACGATCACTGGGCAAAAATCCATCAAAGATTTCACGTAATAAAACATAACAATACAGTGTTAAAAAACCGTATAATTTCAAAATCATATCGGTGTAAAATAATTATTCGATAATTTTTCATTGTTTCATAATAATGCCCAATAAACTGATACTGTTACTGTGTTAATCGCATTATACTTCTAAAATTAATTAGATTCACAAAGGCTTAAAACCACATCGTTTCAAGACGAGATATCATCTAAATCAAAGGGATTATTCTCGGATACAACGGGGCAATAGGGATGTGACGAACTACATAAATAAACGATTAATAAGTAATCGATGTTATTTCAAAAATAACGATTTTATAGAATAACAGATTTTTTGCTTCATCCTGATATGAAACCGCATTCCGAATGAGCGGTACTTTAAAAATATAAGTATGATTATTGAAAAGTTTGTTTGAACATAGAATTTTCTATTCTATTCTATTATTGGCTGTGAGGTCTATGAGTATTCTCGATTTTCTTTTTTTACACTTCACTATGTTCGATATTTTCGAACGCGTTGGTACCTAATAATCGATATATTGAATAATGATATCGACAAAAAACATTCAACAATATACGATTTGTTTCTATAATCATTTTGTCACATCACTAGCTGGCAGACCGTTTTAACTTTTTTCTCTACGCCACGTTATTTACAAAGGGTATTACTTTAAAATAATTAGGATTCAATGTCAAAATAGTAGTTTGAAGATTGGTTATTCCTCGTGTTAAGTAGACATGACAATAAGTTTACGATTTGAGAATGCGTATGGTCGAGTATCATAATACGATGTCGTTATTCGTTTCAATACTTTAATACTTTGTTAGTTTTACTTTCATAAAATACGATTATATAAAAATATGAATATAAATAAACCAAGGATTTTATATGTATGTATATTTATATTTAAATATATTAAACGATTTAAAATATTATTTGATTTATTATATATTTTTCTATTAACTTAAATTAATTAACTAATAAACTACGAGCCAGATAAAAGTACAGAGGGAGTTTTATATGTATATACAACAAAACTGAAGTCGCGAGAACAATTTCTCCAAAATGAGCTTCCATACTTTATATAAATGTTTACTTTTATATAAGTGATATACCACTTCAGTATATTTTAACTATAGTAAAAAGTCGATGTATATCTCGAAATAATTACAAAATTGTCCAAGACCCAAAGGTTTGGAATAATTTAGTAACTATCAAGATATATCATTATTTAACTGTACTCGCTAAGTCCACGTGGAATTCAACTTTATTTTTCTAAAATAAAATTAGCCTAAGTTACTTCCTATTACATCAGCTACCTGCCAAAAAAAGACCCGTAAAAATTTCAGAGATTAGCCGGAACAACATACAGACAGACAAAAATTTAAAAAAATGTTATTTTGGTGTATGTGCCGTATATATATTCATATGCCTTTAGTAAAAAACTGTTATTTCAATATTACAAACAGACACTGCAATTTTATTTATATGTATAGATTATGTAATTAAAAATGTATAAAAAATCCTTATTTTAGTTTATCAATTGTCTTAATAATAATGTAGATATCTAATTATTTGATATAATTAAAAATTGAAGTAAAAAGAAAGGGATAATGAGTATACATTTTTTAAATAAGTTTTGTTAATTTTTTGTTTATTAACAATACAAAATAGAGCTATAAAATATAATTAAAAGTTCTTTAACATCTCTCTGACTATATCTTTACTATACTGAACAAAATAGTTATATTTTAAAAATGGATACTTACACGTTTCATCTATGTATCTATCTCTCTAGACTTTTGCGTGCTCATGAACAACAAAACGCAGCCTGTATGTTTTCATCTATGTTGGTCTCTCTAGACTTCATGCTCATGAACAACAAAACGCAGCCTGTATATTTTCATCTATGTTGGTCTCTCTAGACTTCATGCTCATGAACAACAAAACGCAGCCTGTATGTTTTCATCTATGTTGGTCTCTCTAGACTTCATGCTCATGAACAACAAAACGCAGCCTGTATGTTTCCATCTATGTTGGTCTCTCTAGACTTCATGCTCATGAACAACAAAACGCAGCCTGTATGTTTTCATCTATGTTGGTCTCTCTAGACTTTTGTATGCTCATGAACAACAAAACGCAGCCTGTATGTTTTCATCTATATTGGTCTCTCTAGACTTCATGCTCATGAACAACAAAACGCAGCCTGTATATTTTCATCTATATTGGTCTCTCTAAACTTTTTCATGGTCCATGATAATGAACAACAAAAAATAGCCTGTATTAAAAGCTATAAGCAAAGCCATCTGTGTGGGTTGTGTGTTTCAATGATAATGATCATAACAACATAAAAGTAGCCACGGTACGTAATATATGATGTGCAGTAAAACTTTTGGAGGAAGGTGTTAAAAGATGGGGCGGCGTGCGTGTCTCAGCAGATGATTCAATCATTCATAGAGATATGATCATATATCATCGGCGAAAGTGTTAACTCACACCGGCCTACGTTTCAACTTCAATGGGATGCTGCCTCTGCGTTTTTTATCCTTTTTTTGCCCACAGTTCAAGTCTGTTGTGACTTATAGGAGTAGTGTTTAAAGCTTTTTGTTTGGTGCGATATACAAATCAATCTTCTGTTATAATTATCAGTTTGATGGTGCAGTGGTTAAGTAGAAGGTTGGACTGTTGCTGTGGGTTCCATTCGAGCATTCTACAAATATTTATTTATTTCCTAAAGTGTGAATTTTATTTAGTAGTTTCGATAGATAGAATGTACTTTTTTTAAACTATTCACGGGCTCGTGGTCAGTGGGTTCGCATACCAATTTACTTTCGATGGTCGCGACTTCGATTCCTATTTTATTTTATTTCCGTATTTTCCTTATTAAAACCCTCAACACCTTTCACTCATCAGACACATTAGATATATCCGCTTCAATTACTAATTTACCAATTTATGCTTCACGTATTAATACATATTGTATACTGCCACCTCGGCTTCGCACGGGTGTACATGTATTATACATATGAACCTTCCTTTTGAATCACTCTATCTACTAAAAAAACGCTTCAAAATCCGTTGCGTAGTTTCTAAGATTTAAGCATACATAGGGACAGATATCTACAGCGACTTTATTTTATACTATGTATAGATTACAAACTCTTTCCATTCGCACATGTGGCTGCCACAGGAAGCGGGCGTTATTATTGTATTGAAAAAATAATAATTTATAGTTCCAACGATGTCCCATGATCCCAAAATAAGTCATCACCTCGCGTGATCTCAGTAATGATCTATATCTAATAGATTTGTGGTTAATGACTGTCGTATTTCACAATATTGATGACTTTAATGATGACTTACGTATATTTACGGAGGACTTTATATAAAAGTAATAATTATAGAAATGACCGTCTTAATAATTGGTCAGACAATAATATTAGTTTTATATATCGGCCATAATACTAATTTATTAATGGAGAAACAGTAATTATTTTATTAAATTTACGTCCTCGATAGTCTAGTTGAGAATTTCCAAAGGCCGCGGATTTAATTCTGCGTTGGAAAAAAATTTTGTATCCATTAATTTGATTGTTTGCATCGATCTGGACCCTTTCTATATAAATTATGTATGTATTTACAAAAACTGAACCTATAATACAATCAG